TCATAAGTGAAATGAGTGAACCATCCTGACCCACACACTACCGGTACTATACAATGATCAGCGATGGCCTCATCATTAACAGTAGCATCACGGAGACGTCGACCACAGCTATTAGTGTAGCAAAAAATTCAAAACATGTACGCACATTTACTCATAACACACATACGTAACAACACGGGTACATTGCTTGGTGGTAAGTGTTGACGAGGTACACGTCTAGTAGTCAACTCGTTCGAGGCTCAATAATTCCCCAAACACGTCAGTCAATATATATAAGAAACACGTGGTCACAGTTCCATTACTTTTGTGCCACTTTTTGCGAAGATGTATTGTGTAACACTACAGCAGGAGGAAAATGAAGAAAGGTATACATGACACGTAATGACACAGTATTACAGGAGCCACACGTGAACAGTGATTTGAGACAAGTAAGAAACAGTGAGGAGGAGAGAGCATTACCAGAGTGTGGGAGCCCATTGTGAGGGTCATGGCGATGGTGGGGGGAGGTTGTCACTGCCTTCATCAAGCTGTTGAATCCGGTCCTCACCACCCCCCAACTCCCTGACCCACTCCGCGGGGTCGTGGGCGTGCTGGCTGGCGACCCGGTCGTGGGCGTAGTGCTCCCCTTGTTGCGGGCTGCATGGATGGCAAGAGATAGTTGAGTGGGACGGGGAGCGTGGGAGGACCGCTCCGGGCGTGGGCTACCTGAAGGGGTAACGGGAAGGCGACGAAGGCTCTTGGGACTGGCATTCGCGAGGGACGGGCAGGAGGAATTAGCCAGTTGTGATGAAATCGAGGACACCTTGTCTGGGGGGTTGGAGGGGGAGTTGGACGCTGACACGGGGATCCGTCCGCTACGAGGGGCCGCCACCGGCTGATTCGTTGAGCGCCCTGATTTAGTCACCCCTGGTGAGACAGCCAAAGGTTTCATAATATAAGACTATAAATTTTGGAAGTACATGTGCTCTATCAATAATTACTGATCCATTAGTTTCATGTTTTATGAAACTTAACATTTACTAGCGATCCCTCAACACAGCCTTGGTATGCCATTATTCTGTACCAGAAAACCCTAATTGTATATATTACTCTTAGAGTCATGTGCATGGTGACTTGTCTATAAGACGTTAACAATCTTCGAAAATCGTACGTCACCAAGAATCAGATCGTTTATCAGTAAGTCTTCCAACTCGTGGACGCGTGATGGGAAGGGAGCTGCCGACGAGGGCGTTATCACAAGAATGGAAAATGTGAGTTGGACGCCTGCTGTGTTATGACCACTAGATAATAACGATGACGTTTCTTGTTGTGACAGGTACAAACGGACCAAAATGCAACCAGAATTCCCCTACAAACACTATCTTAACACAAGCACCGTACACACAGTATAACCTGCAACTAAGGCCGTTCGATGGTGTGATTACACCTTCGAGATGAGACCGCAGTGCCCTTAGTCATAGTGTTTATCTCCCTGTTGGTAACATCTCCTTGACCGCTGAGTTGGACCGTCTAACTGATAATTAGATACTTTGACTCGCAGGTCACGCCGGGTCCTTTAAGTTTGTTTACGTTTTGTAAGCAACCGAGAATCACCGTGCACAAAGGAAGTCACAAACATTGATTAGCAATATCTACATATGACATAAGAACTCTTTTTCGTAAAAAATTGGCCTCATATTCAACATTTCACCATACTTTCCGAAATGAATGATCGCCACCACAGCAGTGTCATCAGCAAGCACTGTGACCTTCTCTACCAGCATGTTATGACAATGAGCGGCACTGAGTCACCCACATTATGTATCCAGGTCAGTTTATTGTGTTGGTGTAATTAGTATAGCGAGCAGCACACCTGTGATAGTAGGTAACAGGGTTTCGACAGCTTACAGTTTATTACATGTGGCAACGCCGGGGCAATGCACTCTCTATGTTAAGTCAAATACCTATGGGCACAGCTGTCTGCTTCCAAAGTTCTCTCTATTTATATTGTATCTAGGTAGAAATATCCTTTACTCAGTACATCTCAGCCCCAAAATTCCTTGGGTGGATGACTCACCATTCTGGGCGGCGTGGGCTTGAGTCGTGGTGGTGTTGTTAGACTGGAGGCGGTTGAGGGCACGGGCGTGTAGGAGCCTCTCCTGGGGGGTCATTAGGGCGTGGGTGGGGCGCTCTGGCAGCTCCAGGTTGTCCTTTGCTAGGGACTCGGTCGACTCCACCCTGGGGAGAGACTCTACTGAGACATGGGTAAGGAAGTGATCACGTGGTGTAGAGATAAAAACTATATTTAAACGTTATTATTTAATCAAGAATTGTTCCTAATAAAAAGTAAATAAATTAATTAATGAAAGAAATACTCCGCTGTAGCTTTACTTATCTCTGAACTAAAAAAAAATATTACTCCAGTTCTCAAGAGTGGTACAGTAGCCTATAACAAAGGGTTCAATATTTTTTTAAGCTGTGCTGTTCGAGGAACGTCCATAAGCTTATCAACAAGATGCTAGACCCCTGGCTCCCCCCTTCCCTGAGAGTAGTAATACTGTACTCACCGCGAGATCTTCCTGTGGGTGACAACGGAAGAGGAGAGGAGTGGGTGTTGTGGGTGAGGGTAGAAGCAGCAGCAGCAGATGCCACGCAAAAAGGCCACTACACCCCTGCCCTGGCCATCCTCACCACTTGACGACGACGAAACAGACGACCCTCCCGTCTTTCGTTTCCCCCAGTCGCCCTTGGAGTCATCCGTACCGAAAGGATTATAGCCTTTATTCTTCATTTTTGTGTTTATGTCAGACATCTTTCCTTTTACCTGAAGGAGAGGGGTGGAAGCTGTTATGATTATGTGGCTTCGGGAGCACTGGTAGATATAACTGTTAAAACACAAGTGAATTGCCTTTTTAACAACTGATCGAAAATTATCACTTGCTCGTGGTTTTTTCCAGTTTGGGGACACACTGTTTTGTAACTCATTGATATTTCCACTGCACACTTATATTTAAGAGGCTGTTTCCACAAATCACTTTCCAGGATAGTTCTCGGTTAGGCAAGACTTGATAATTAGCCCACTGGCGTCTCCTGCTGCTTCCGTTGCCTCGTTCTCCCGACTACTTGCCATGGTAAGTCGTGCACTATATACATACCATTTGCCAGGTGAGAAGTGTGTTTCCGTTAAAATTACCTACCCACGCACATAACTTGTACAAACCTGATTAAATTTCTCAACAGTATGATAATTTAGTCCGGGTCATCACTGATCACTATTTATTCAACTTTAAATTAATACTAGCAACTATAATTTTCGTATATCACAACCTTTGCTGACACAATGGTCATTTTTCCTTTCATTGATCATATGGGTGGGACCAGGTGCGTGTGGTGTGTTGTATCGTGAACTAGAGTCTGTTGGAGGCAGAGCGGGAAGGTACCAAAACGTCATACACAAAAAGAACCTGTCCTAATCACTCTTCATAACGCGACAATTTCTTTTATGGATACTTTTTTCACAGTTTAATAGTATATAAAGAATTAAATAAACTTCAGATATGCTGTACACAAATTTAACTTGCTCTTAAATAAGAAAATGATACAGATTATTACGAATTTTGATGGAGGACAGTGCCACACCAACAGATTGGGACGCGTGTACACCTGTGCGGGTAGTGTGGGCGATCACAGCTGTAGAGGGAAAGTTTTCTGTAGAGTCCTTCACACTCTTATATTCAGTACCAGTTAATGTAATATATAAAATTTTGCAGTCTATTTTTCAATTTCATATTTCTTACTTTATATTTCCCACAAAGAAAAATACAATAATACGAAAATAATGACATTTGTTAGTGTAAGAAAATCAATATCTACTGGAATTGCTTACCTGATTTTTTCGCATCAAGGAAGAGCATTAATGACACCATTAGCCATAGTGATGTCACAGACCAACTGACTGGATTCAACCCTTGCATGGTCGCTGTTGTTTTCACTTACTTTAAAAGGTTATTGTGACTTACCCGACCTCACGATATGGAGGGAGATTTTTTTTTGACAGGATGTAAGGGGGTGCCCAATAAACTAGCCCCCCCCCCACTCCCGGGGCAGTGTAGGCAGCAGTGTAGTACTGGCTACACTGCTGCCTGTGTGTACCGAAGACTTACTATATACAGTACTGTACATTATTTATGCCCAAAGTTGTCCCTAATAGACTGATATTGATTATACTTGCCAATTCCATAAACCAAGGGCGGATCCAAGGAGTGGGGTCCGGACCCCCCTTTTCATCATGAAATTCCAATACTTTTTCTTTAATGTACCGGTAGCATTGTACTATGGTATTTTTGTAGTGTAAAAAGTAGTTACTACTGACATCAAAATATATCCTAATATCAAGTGCACATGGCCTCAAAATGCCCATGATATTGGTCAGATTTCCCCCCAAAATATCGGGGGACTCACAGCGACCCTCTCCCCCCAGTTGGTTGGCTTGCTATGTCCCCTCCCCCCCCTCCTTGATATTCGTGGATCCGCCCCTGTAAAACCACCATGACTCTGTAGTGGATTTCTCCCCTACAAATGCTGTTTGTCGTTGAGTAGCCGACCCCACGAATTCCACAGTATGTGCCTCGTGGTCGAGGTCAACCAGCGCCGCCCACGGAGCGGGGGTCAACTACTAAACCATGCCTACCCCTGCTATTTAAGACCTGACCTCGTGGTGAACTCTCTTCTTTCTACCTACACCAACCAGCCAGCAACTCCTCCTCCTCCTCCACCTGCCTGGCGGTCCTCGCTCCCGCCGGCGAGCATGGCGACCCACAAGCTGTCCTCCTGAGCACCCTCACCAACCAGCTCTCTCTACATCACGCTTGTAACCATGCTGCCTTCCCAGCACCAAGCTGCATTGTACATCCAATACAACATGTATACAGAGAGCACATTGTGAGTTTCCTTTCTCCATCCCATCCTGAGTGAGAACCAAACATCCCATACCCCACAACTCTCAGTCAAATTATACGTTACTAATATTTATCTGGTACTGTACTGGAATTGGCCAAAAAAGTTAAAAGTAGCATCCCATAAGGAGTTACCACTTCATACCCAACCACGCCACTCTTAAATTGTGTTGTCCAGTGAGGGAAACTTCTCTGCACTTTTACATAAAACATTTCCCCTGCATAAGGTCTGAAATACCTCTCCAATAAATAATTCACTTATGAATGTGGATATACCTGCAGCATCCAGTTCTCTTCTTTTTCACTTTGAGAGATAATCCTGCCTCCCTCAATCACACGCTACATAACCTAAATAGTTATACCTTATACTGTATCATCTTAAAATGATCTTGTTAATGAATCCTTAGACCTGCACACCCATCTAAAGCTGCCATTCCTTATGCTATCTTCTTATTGCCTTCATTATCAAGTACAGTAGTCATAGGTTGGCATACATACTTACCTTATACCTCCTTTGACTATAAAACTGCATTCTCTAACTGTTAAGTGGCATGTGTCCCAGGCGCCCACCCCAAATAAAGGTTTTGGTGCCTACGTTACCAAAACTAATTGGACTTTTTTATCCATATAAAATTTTAAAAAGTATTCATTTTAGATTCTTGGATTTTTATGATATAAATAGCACAAAAAATATGTTGATTCTAATTGAGTAATCCTACACTGTCAGTAATGAGAGATAAAATGTATGTAACAATAATGGAAGATTGTTCAAGTATTCAACAATACGCAACCAAAGGACTAGCTGCAGAAAAGCTCATTGCAATGAGTGATCTTAACGGAAGCATGGCAGCAAGATTGAAGATAGTTATGAAACTCAAGTACTGTTCAAAGTTTGTAACTCGTTAACTTTCTGCACATATGAAAACACATCTACACTGTGTAAAGAAATGGGAGGAACCATTGTAAATACTGTACTGGGAAAATAAGGAGTACAATCTGTGTGCACATGCTAATGATGTAAGTAACGTAGAATTAATGATATATAATGACCAATAATTTTTCTGCTCAGTGTTAGTTTGCTAAATCATACAATAATACAATGTAAGTTAATATTAACCGTGACTAGTCATGTAAATTGAAATGAAGGCACATAAAATCAACATCTGAATAGTTAATTATTTTACAAGAAAGACTCAGATCACCAGTTTTGTTTTTCTTGTGTGTAACTGAAAGCCACTGGGAAATATGCAGATCTAGATTAAAAAAGTAATAAAAGAGACAACTTGGAAAAATAAAACTTGAATGTGTATATAACTTTGTTTATAAATAATTCATAACCAGGAATATCTTTTTTTTGGTGCTGAACAAACTCTATAGAAAAATACTGTATACATAAATCCTTCCTCTAATGACAATATCAGGACCCATCATCATCTGTGCTATGACCAATAAAAAAATATACAGTATGGTACAGTACTGTATCTACCTTCAGGGCAAAACTCTGGTAATAAAAGTTACCTGACATACAAACACTTTTAACACCCAGAGAGTACAAAATACGTCAAGTAAAAAATAAATATTGGAAAATAAAAAATTACAAAGCTTAAGGCAAAGTTATCACATGATTAGCCCATTTAACTAATTATAGAGACTGTCACATTGAGGAACCGACAGGTTATGAACTCCCTGAATTTTGAAGAGATGTACACAAGTCTACCAAATTCATGCAGTTCTGATGAATTATCAGTCCAAAACCAAACCATTACAATTATAGCCCAGTCCCAACTGAAGTACTATAGTGCACTGAAGTCCCTTCCACCAACCAGCCACATGTGAGGTTGAATCAACAAAGCAGCTAAAGGAAGTGCTTTAAAGATAATTGTGATCATCAGCTTGTAAATGAAGATATTATACGTATTATTGCAACCTCATAGATGTTTTCTATCACATTTCACATATTTCTTTTTTACACGATCATTGTCTCTTTCTTATAATTTTGTCGCCTCAGCAATACTAATCTGTTAATTCATTATCAAAACTTAAAATTAAGCAAGTGACAACTGCTCCCCCTACATGGAAGCCAATGGGGGTAAAGGAGAAAGTTGAATACTAATATGTTTGGTGACGAGTCCTAATGTGCCACCAACCCTTATTGAAGGTAAATACCTGTACATTCATTGCCATCATTCTTGGCTTGCATCAGTCCAATGCTAGATGAAGATCTCTCCCCCCGTTTGGTTCCACAATTTTCTACACTTAGACTTCCCTGCCCACTGAATGACTAGCTTTCAAAACTAAAACACTGTACTGTATAACTGAAGAGAAAAATTCAAATATTTTACTTTCATTGTAGCCAAGAACGATATAGATCCTAATAGCTCACCATACAACACTTTTAAAATAAAAACAGATTCAAATGTATTCCTGTGTGGTGCAAAACATCAAAAGCTGGACCAAAAGTAATGGTTTCCTTAGTAACCAGGACCACTAAGATGATGTCACTGACAGAAGGGAGTTGCTTTTAACATGATAAGATTATTCAACTTCTTGAGTAAATGTTTTCCTAATACATGTAATCTGAGGTCCTTCACTGTCAATTTATGTATATACAATAATAGTCATCACAATAAGTACTTGTTATAAAGCTGGCAGAGATTTGATGGCTATTGAACAAGAAAGCATTTCCTGTCAGTTGTCACCTTGAATATATAATATAAAACTCCTTTATTTTTGTCTGATTTTAGCAGGTACTGCACTTGAAATAAATCTTATCACAGTTTGTCATTTACACACAATAAACTCATTCACAAGCATTGTTTATTTCATTCTCTAACTTCAGGATTTTCCTTTTGGTGTCACCAATTGTCTTCTGTACGGTCCTTGCTAAAGCTGCCACTGCCTGCATTTCACTGAGAGCACTGAAGTCCACAGGTAGGCCATCTCCACCAGACATAGCCACAGTAATCTGGGGAAAATTTGAGATATAAAATCTAAAATCTAACTTAACTTTCCCTGAAGAAAGTAACTTTACAACATATCAAACTCTATATGGTATTCTAGACAATATGCTACAAAGTTATCCAGCTCACTAGATCTGTATATTTCACTCTAATTTGCATTCAAGCATTGGTGCTCGTCAAACTGTTTAAGATTTTACAAGTTACAGCAAACTACAATAAAGTAATGTGTTATTTTAGGCATAAACATATAACTGTATAAGAAGGATATGGAAGCATAACATCCCATTTTGTAGCCAAGGAGATAAAGCTTAGGAAGTGTGGGATGTTCACAGCAGCAAGAAGAAAACTTTTTAGTATCCAAAAGTTACAGTCAATCCTTTAGGTGATGAAAAGATTCTAGTATTGTACCTCCAGCTCTTACTGTCAAATACTGGGAAAGGAAAAAGTTTAAAGAAATACACAATTTTGAGAAACACTTTTCGGAAAATATACAAACCACCCCATATCTCTTTTTGAGTTTGAATTACCTGGAAAAAAAGTGAGATCATGTTTATTGACTGAAATTTTGTCAATGAACAAAGAAGAAATAAATTCCCTTGTTGTTTTCTCCTGAGTCAACCATCTTTACTTCAGACGTTAAGATGAAAGTAAAGCACTGATAGAAGAGACAAAAGAACATAGTACAGTAAAGGGAGTTTTCTGACTGAATATTTTCCCTAAGAAGACTTTAGTGAGATTCCTGAAACTACACTGACAACACAAACTTTGCCACAAAGAGGAGAGGTACAGTATCCCATGTTGAGCTGGCACATAGTCTAGTCACACTAAATTTGAGCGAAGAAAACGGAGACAAAATTAAGATTCAGCGAGATTTTTATTAATGCGAGTCATCCACTCGTATTCAATGGAACTTAAAATATTATAAGAAGTGGAAAGTTGCATAAAGGTGTGAGTCCTATATTTTTCATCTCTTCATTTTTAAATTCATTCACCTTCACTCAATTCAGAAAGTACATTCCGGAATGACTTTTAGAATTTACCAATACAGTAACAGCATTAGACTTTCCTGAGTCATTTGTTCCCTAGTGTCAATTTTGTTTTCACTTTTGCATGCCCATTAATGCTATACGGCACTGAGGCTGGAACCAGGAGCAAACACAAACACATATGCCATCAATCAATCATTCATACTGCTATAAAAAATGTGTTCTACTATGGTGTTTCACTTCCTCAAAATATCTTGATTTTTCTATGTGAAGAAGTTGAGTTTTGAAGCAAATGAGCACAAGATTTATAGTTATGGTACAATGATAGAGTGTCTTAAGACTGTTTAACATCATTCACTCTTCTTTACAATGGAAAACATTACACTGAACAAAGATGCATACTGAAAACTGTCCTTTACTATCTGATGCTTGAATAAATTCCTCACCAACAATACCTTATAGAGCTGATGGACCACAGTCTTTACATCATTCTTCAACAGTCGAATATCAGACTGGAAACCCTTCAAATCTATTCTTCGTCGCTCATCTAAACGTTTTCTATCTTGCTTAAGCATTTCTATCTGCTGGATGAGGCTCTGATTCCGTTCCTTGGGGAAAAGAAGTATGGTATGAGCATAAAGTACTGAGAGGATACCTTATAATCTGCAGTGTATGCTAGCTCTATTATGAATTCACCAAAGTAGAAAAGATTTAAATCCTTGACTTCTTGGATGCTGGCAAGTCTGCTAGCTGCACTGCCAGTAATGGAGACATAACACTTCCAATATATAATCACTTAATTAACTTAATACACCCTGTTCATGTTTAATTAATCATTTTAATGTATGGGTACAACTGAGGATATGTTAAGGAGATAATATAGTAAATATCGGTATACATTAAATTAAAGTACTTGTAATGAATGATATTAGTGGCATCCAGAAGTTGATCCTATTCTTCCATTACTTTATGAATTAGTGTACGTTCAATTTTGCTTTTAAATGAACCCCTCTGGGACACAAACTCACATATACATGAGGGCCTACCATATACTCAACACTTGGAATACATACCACACATCAAGGAAATAGAGAGGAACCTTACTTTATACAACTGGTCAACAGCTTCCTTCTGTTCTTTAAGTTTACACATGTTCTGTTCAAGATGCAGGCACTGGGACTCGTACATAGTTCGTAATTCTTCTGCCTCAATCATCTCGTGCTACAAGGTTTGGAAATAGTATTATAAACATGGTTGAAGAGGTTGATGATTTTTATTTAAGTTTTATTCACCCATTGGAAGAGTTCCTCACAAAAATTTACTTTATTTACTTTTCTCATGTAAGTGAAAGGTCAACACAAAAAATATAAATCTGTATCAATCTTTGCATGAAATGACATCAAAGTTACTGACACCAAGTATTTGACCATAAAATAGTTAGAATACAGTATCTACTGGATTTAATATTCAATACAGCAGGGTTTGCACAGTTCCCAGCACTTAAAATCTGCACAGTAAACTGTCAGAAAGATATCAAGGGATAATAAAAAACAAATTGTATATGACCATGCTGTGTTAGAGGAACTTTAAGTAAAACCTAAAACAGATTTCATTTATATTAATTGTGTTTCTTAAAATGTTATTGTAAATAAATTTTATGAAAGAAAAATGGTAGGTAATTTATAAACACATACAGTACACTCTCTCTAATTTTAATAAATATTAATATTTTAGAAGTCCATAATCTAGTAATGTCTATATATAGCAGACACTAACTGTTCCTAAACATCATTAATAGAAAATGGAACACTGCATGCCAGTCAAAATGTCTAACCTTCAGCGATTCATTCTCCCGTCGAAGCTCTTTCAGTTCACATGTAGATTTCATCTTAGATAGGTCAGTGTAACTTCCAGATCTTTCTATAGCCTACAGGAGAAAGACAGAATATAAATACAGTACATATATAATCAGTGGAATTTATATGCCATTCAATAAATAATACACTGAAGGCAAGACAGGGGGAATGTATGACTACTACCAAATATTACTATGCCACACGAAAAGCTGGATAGTTTCATACAACCAATGGACTTCACTTGTTTGTCTTCTCAAATGAAGTTAAAGCTCTCCACACTTACAGACTGACTAACCCTTATATGAAGAGTTTTAACATGTCAAAGTGACCAGAGTATACAGCAACCTACCCAGCCTACTTGACTGTGAGCTGCATATTTTCTCGATTCACAAATCATCATTCACTCGAGACTCAATTTCAAGCCAACTGATGAAGGTCATACCTGCATCTGAGTGGCCAATGGGAGGTTTTCTTGGACTGTAGCCAAAACAGACAACAGGTGATCTCTCTCAGCCAACCAAGCCATTTCTAATTCTTGTACTTCAGCATTTTTTTTAAGCGTATCCTTAACTGCTTCACTTAAATGGCTTTGGGCTTCTTCCAGTCTTAAGGAGGAGGGAAATACATGAAGAAAAAATATATGTCATGTAAATACAAAAATAAATGCACAAAAAATCCAGCAACTGATGAGACAAACAAATCCAACTATACAAATACTATACTGTACAGTCAATTATGTCGAGGAGTGAGAATTTAACATTTAGTTGGTTACTGGTTGTTGACGTGGATAAGCTATAGCGTTGTGTGTTGGTGGAGGGAAGACTGAAATATAAGTTAAGGTAGGTGAAAATACAAAACATAATTTGGCAGAAGAAATAATAGCAAGTGAGAAAGGAAACTAAACATGATTGTGTTATATGGTAATGTGGTAGACACATACTTAACAGTGAGCAGTTTAATATGTGCTTCATCTTTGCTTGTTTGTGCTTTACTCTCGGAGGCTGAGAGAGCTCTATCTTGTATGAAAGCATTTCTTTCTCCTCTCCAGGTTTTCTGTGATTCCTCCAATTGTACCTCAAGAGATTTTATACGTGCTCTCAAGGTTAACCCGGCTTCCGTCTCCACTGGAAAATATGTAAAACGCACTCTTTATGTAAATGACATAACATGTTTTGATGACTACCAGACTGTGGAATACAGTACTGTACTGTAGAAGGTATCAGATTAGGTCACAGTTTAAGGGATAACATTTAAGTGTTATATGTTTTGTCTAATGATACTGGCACCCAACAAACCTGGTTCCTCAACATTTTTCTTTAGCTTGTTGTGAAGCTTCTTAAGTTCTGGTGGGAGCTTCTGCTTGATGATAGTTGTTCTGCGAGGATCCCGCAGGAACACCTTTAATTCCCCTTCAGAGAGACCACTCAGTGATAATAAGAGAGCAACCTTTTTTTCTGACTCCAGGTTGTCCAACTGGAAAACACTTATATAAGTTAAATTACAGTACTTGGTAAGGAGGAAATATTAAGCCCCCTGACACATGTAACCAGCTCCCTTATAATTATCATATTTACTATATCTTCAGGAAATAAATAGAAGAAAGTTGGGACACATTATGACTAATACACAATAAACTGATTCAGATATCATCATACATACTTGCAGCCGTTCATTTTCTGCATGCAGTCGAATAACTTGTTGGCGTTCAGCATGAAGAAATACATTGATATCTGACAGTGCAGATCTAAGTTCAATTAGTTCACCTGTTAACTGTCTCCGCTCATCCTCAACAAAGGTAGGTTTTGTTACTTGTTGATATCTGTAAAATGAATTAACCTTAAGGTTTCTTGGCTGTTAACATCAATCAATAATGTCCCTTAATGAGAGAAGTATTGTACATACAACTGGGCACAGAAGCAGTGTCCTGAATTAGTATTACAGTAATGGTAAAGGCCATTTTCTTATGTAACAAACAGACAATTGCAAAATTCATTAAATTTCCAAAATCCTATTCTCTCAGTGGTTCTATTAGCAAGATTCTTTCCTGTTTTTCTCCTTGAATATATATTGATGTAACTACAGGCTACAATATCATACATTCTGGTTATAAAAACAAAAATGGAATTTCACTTACACAGTATTGTCAACAAATCACCTTGTACAAATCACAAACCTTAAACATATATTTCAAGCAGTGGTCGAATCTTCACTGTACTGTACACATGATCAGAGAACTATCTGTGCACACTGGGTCTGATGATTTCCTAAATAATCAATACACCTATACTGCAACGTAACCACCAACATGAACCACACTACACATTGTTCACAAGATTAATCTATTTTCCTCCGAATGTGCATATAATAACAATACTTACTATGGGTAAAACAGGACATTCCCTGGACCAAAAATAAGATTCATTTTATAACACCAAGGGAAACAAAAAGTAAAAGTAATATAAAAATACATAAAAAAAAACTCACTTTTCAATTAACTGCAGCATGTGTTGGTGTTCTTCATCAAACTTTCCAACCTTATTCCTGTAGGAGTCCAGAAGCCGTTGAGAAGGTTGCAATTTGGCCAGTTCTTCTTCAACATTAATATCCTGTTGTGGAAATATTCAGCTTGATAGTGCAAAACACTTTTCTATATTTAAAAGTAATTTATTTCCTATTTAATATTACAGTATGCAGGTACAGTACAACGCAGAGTAATTATTCTTTTATTTCTGAACGGTGACATCTTTATAAAAAGTGTCTTCAGCAGAGTATACATTGAACCCCAGTAGTATAGCAACTTATGTGGTTCAGCATGATTTCTGATTGGTTGTCTTGGTGTTAATTCACAAAACTATTTGGGTGCCGTGCCTGTCCCCACACTCCGACAAAGTTAAACCAGAAATTCAATTTTGTCTGAAAGATTTAAATCAAAGGTGATTGTAATTAATATTTGCAACTCCATCCAGTCTTAAACTTTCACTAAATTAGTGATAATGTACATGGTAAACTGAAGCTCCTTTATAGCAGTATATTTCCCACCCTTATCTTGTATAATGACAATAACAAAACTATTTGCTTTAAAAACAATTATAAAAAACATCTTGCTTAACAAAAGAGCACCAAAAATAAGCAATGCTTTACAAAATGGTGCACTGTATAAGAAATATGTAGCATGGGCATTGAAAATGTGTCACAGGGTTTTTTAACAGCACAGCTAATGAGCACCGAGCACAAACAGTCTCCTCATGACACCCACATTTTCAGAATGCTGCAGGTTTGGTTGATTATTACTGTAGGGAAAGAGTCAATTAGAGTCAACAACTGCCCAAATGTCTACCAAACAACCATTAAGTGGAAGTGACTCTACTGAGCCTTTGAGAAACTAAAAATACAGTATAATAAACTGCTCGTTTTTTCTGTTACATTTTAGGATTTGTTTAATGTTCTTTGGTTATATACATACACAACACAACATTATACACTGTACTGCATGAAGAAGTACTGGAACTTATCCCCATTCGTCCTTTATTACATCTGTTTCTAGGAATGAAGTGGATGCCAGGAACTCAACCACTGTGTTAATAGAGGTACAGCACTGTATTGTTGTACAGTATATATTATGTACTGTATACGTAATGTGTATACAAAAAATTACCCCTGATCTTGTCAACTCAATCTATCAACAGCTTGAAAAGTCTATTAACTTTTTTCTTGAAATGTTCTCTGGGTGTTTGATACTGTATGCCAACTCTCAAAAACTCGAAACAAACAACAGTCGACTCCAAGGAAAATAAATATATTTTTGTGATCTCTCTAAATTATGAACTTACTTGGACATGATTTGAAGATGTTGGAGTCGTTGCTCTAATCCTACGAGTGCTATTAAGTCTCCTTACCGAGTCCTTGAGCCTGCAACAAATTTTATGTATTAATGTTTAAGTCTACAGCCTAGAAATATAAAACCAACATCAAACAATAAAAAATTGCTTAGAAATTTTTGGAAGAGTAAGATGCTGCTTGTGACGCACACCACCACAAGGGGTGCTCGGGACGCCCCTCTCCTCCGAAGGTCATTAGTTAACAGAGGATGGTGGGCTAAAGTCAGGTCACGTGGTGTGAGGGCTACCTATTTATTGAATAACACATACACCATGTGAGTTCAAATTTGGGTATATGTGAATCCAATGAGCCCATCTGCTCACCCCTAAGTGTGGTTCCGGTGATGCCATCCTCTACATAAGGTTTAATGCAAATGGTTAATGAACTTGTATGTAAATGATGACAAGTAAAATGATGACTACACCAGCAAGGATATAACAAACGTTTTATGGCACTTCATTACATGAAACTTTTGCTACAAAATATTTATTTTGACACAAAATGGATCTCTTTGAGGAACAAGATAAAATTAATGCAAACTTACCAAAATACTGTATGGGAAAAATGTGAATATGAAGTGACTAGTCAGTGGGGAAACTATGGTTATACAGTATATCATTACAGGTATGTCAGAATACTGTACAATATTGACCAACCTTATGATTTTAGGTTAATGTTTTGTTAAGTTCAGTTTACTTGGTCTGTGGTGAAGCTATGCCGTCAAAAATCACCAAAGCCACAGTCAGCCTAACAGCATAGCTAGGCCACAGTACTTTCTCTCCACCTCTATTTCTTGATATTTTCTAATGGGTTCTTCACTCACACTTATTTTTAGCTCATTACACTACACATAAATCTAGTGAGGGAACCAAATAACAGTAAACACAACCATAAGATCATTAAGTTATAATTTAGGTAAAGTTTGGTATGGTAGCATTAAGGTGTTTAATCCTCATCTTCACCTAAGCTTCAATCAATAAGTCTTATCAATACATAGTTAAAACAAGAACTGTAGTGCATATTTAAGCTTTGCACTGCACCCTTTACAAATATAGAGTTATATACGGGAATATTGACATAAAAACATAATTAATCCTCCACCTCACATGACAGACATTTAACATGACTTTCTCCCTCTCCCACACCCCTATACTTTATAACTCAAATTACCAAAGAATTAAAGATATTACACGTGGCAGAAGAGACTAATTCTTTAGGTAACAATTTATAATGGGAAAATATGAGAATTACTTTAAAATTCGGATAATTGAACATTTTATAACAAGCATGTAGTTTATTTACCTTTCTGCCGCGGCCATTTTTAAATGACGTAAGGAGTGTTGTTTCCTCGATTGTGATTGGTTTATAAAGTCTCTTGCCAGCCAATCACAGGCCTGGGCACCTGTTCCATACATTTTTACATTGTCGTAACGGTGAATAAAATATTAATATAATCGTAAAAATATTTATCTAATAATTAGTTCAAAAATAGAGAATTACATGTATATTTTTAATGACATTACTTAGAATAAATAAATTCAAATCTTACTTCAAACTATATCGTCTAATGAAAGAGATGTGTTGTGACATCCCTTTAAATGTATAAAAATCAATCTTTGATATTCACTGCATCTGAGTCTCGCTATTTGAAATTCTATACATTTGTGATAATGTATTATTTAACAGATAAAATTTATTGAACAATTATAAAAATATTTGTCTCAAAATTTTTATCCCCTTTCAAAATAAACCATGCATAATAAGTCAATAATTTATCATATATTTAATATCACCTTATCACTAAACCGAGTATATATTTCTCATTTCATCAAAAATTATAATAATACTTTCTAAACGATCTAGTTTTTGCTCTTTCTACTTTATTGTGCGTTGAGCGGCTGCGGTGTATTAGTCCGCGGGGGAGTCAGGACGTCAGTAGTAAACACAAGAGAGACGAAGGAGTCTGGTCACCTCCTTACCTCCTTACCTCTCCTGGTCCTGCGTGGATAATGATACCATCCAGGCGTCCTTAACGTGGTTCACAAGTACTAGATGAACTCTCTAAAGATGTCTGCGGTTGATTTCCAATTTATCCCGCCACCTGAGGCACCTGTGTTTAAACCAACATGGGAAGAGTTTCAGGACGCCCTTGGATATATTAACAAGATACGGCCCATAGCAGAGCAGTCAGGGATTTGTAAAATTATTCCTCCACCGGTAAATTAATATCGCACTATATCTTTTATTCGTTAAATAGTTGTAGAATTATGTTATTGCATGAGTAAACGTTTTTTTTATTATTTTTTACTCTAGATAATGAGTAAATGTATTAATTATTTGGATTAAGTGTTATAGTTTTGATGTTCTGCCGAAGTCGTGGACGGAGGTTTTAGCGTTAAGTAAAGGATGACGTTGGGAATGAATTAGTGTGAGAATAATGTACCTCGGAACTTGTAAAGCTCGAACATTGGTTTATTCTTAACTTTTGTATGGGGAAATAATGGTTGGTTGTCTCTTATGCGTAGACGCGATTACGTGCACGCGTATGTGAGCGACATGGCGACCTACTGTCCATGTCCCAGTGTAATGACAGTAAATTACACCCCAAGACGATAAAGTAAATTATAAAAAAGCTATCCGTAATGCTCCTGAATCTAGTAATAAATGACAGAAAGAATTCGGCAGCGTGTACACTAAGGGAAGGTATAAAAAAGTCCAATAATTTAAAGCAATAGTTCGAGGAAGATGGGTTGAATAAATGAACGAGTTGGAAGAGTAGTTGGGTATAATTTGTGACCGAATTAATCTTATTTTAAAGTAGTGAAAAAATAGTCGAGATATTTAGAAAACGTGAGACGATGAATTTATAAAATTAATGTAAAGGATAAGCAAGAAAGCGTGACTTACCAGTAACAGTTTTTAACCGAATGTAAAGATTCATCAAATTACCTAAATGCCATAAGTGCCTTCTGTTAATCTTGTTAATTTTCAGAATCGATTTTACTTATTTGATATAGTTAAATATGAAAGGTAGATACGCTTCCTCGGTTAACTGGGATTATTATTATTTTTTTACATTTCTTGTTTCTTGTGAGTTACATTATAGTTCATAAAGTCTATAAGAAAGTTATTGATTTAAAAGTAAAGTGATATGGGACCACAGAAAACGATTAGCTGTTTTAAGTCCTACAGTAAGTTATGGCAATTAACTTTTTAACATTGCTGTTGATGTGGCATTTAGATGGTTTACCAAATATCACCCAACTTTTTATATATTTTTGTAATTTGACAAGTTTACTTTTTCTTTTCTTTTTCTTTTTATTTCCTCATCGCAACCTGTTTCAGTCAATTGTGAAAACATTGTTAAAAGAGGATGGGGGGGTAGGTGGCAGCCATCTTGTTTTAGTGGAGAATGACACCTTAGCTAATGATATGAGTAAAATTATTATTTTTTTCTTAATGGAAAAATGTAAATGTAAAGAAATTGAATCTAAAGCAATATATTGGGTTGATACTGGCAGGGTGTAGGAAAAGGGCCAAGGGAGTTTTTCACAGGGGTGAGGCAAAGTCTACTAACCATTCTTAGCTGTTGCATATATTGTAGTTAAGTTTATTTTTCTTGTTCTTTATCACAGTAACAGATTACTTACATAGTTTATAAAGTATAGGTTTGCCTAGTCCTTCAAGATACAAACAAGAATTAAGTCATACAGAGGTGGAATATTGATGATGCCATATTTTTAAAGCCTCATAAAATAAGAATTTACAGTCAGTAGATACTATAAAACATTTTTTTTTTTTGTGGGAGGGATGTAAGTGGTCTCGTATAGCAAGACCATCCTTAGCCCAAGTTTTTCAGAGGACAGTATGATGTTCTCAGTGGTCTAGATTTCATGGACCGTGAGACTCTTTAAAACCAAACAGACCCTGATAGGTAGGGTGATATTTAATAGTAAATTGTTTGTATTATAATTGTGTGTATGTTAATGATATTGCAAATATTCCAGTAATTCTGTAGGTAACCTGTTAATGAAAATTCTGTAATGAGCTAAACTTTTTAAGGCAATAGTTAAGGACAGTGGTGTCACTAAACTAACAGCTTTTGGGATTATGTTCAGACACTGTTTATTTGAATGGATTTGTTGCTTCCAGACTTGTTTAGCTGGAACTGATGTACCTTTGTTTTATGAAAGAATATTTTAAAGCAGGCAAACCAAACCTAATTCAAGGGTACAGTATTAGGTAAGATTTTCAGCATATACTGTATTATAGTTAGTTTGAGTCAAGTTTTTGTTTTGTCTGTTTAAAAAGAAGTGCATGATAGATAGATAGATATGATTGGGTTCTAAAATAAAAATAATTACTGACCTAACAACTCGGCTTCATATAATTCGTAACATCACAGAGGGTCACAAGAACAGTACTGTATATTCTCTTGAAACAAATTATAGATCAAGTAACGACTCCTTGAAACATAGTAAGTGTAATGCCCACAGCCATCCTGACCAGAGTCCCATTAAAATCATACACAACCACCTGCGGGTCCCAGTCAAATAGCTGATGGCTATTTGGCCAGGAATCCTGGTCAAATAACCATTTCGTATAAATTAATAATGTATGTGCAGTCCACCCAACAACACCATGAGTGGCACTTCATCTGTCAACAAGTGCTTCCCAGTGACCGACCAAAGGGTTCCCAGCGACCTTTCTTTACCAAATCTACCTAACCTAAAATACTCCATCCTAGGTTAGATAGGTTTGGTTGGATCATCTTATGTATGAATAATCATAATTGCTGGAAGTGTTTATGCATATGGAACGATTGCTGTGAAATTTTTGTGCGTTTCTGTCGTGAAATGTTCTATGCTCGTGTAAAAGGTAAATTTGGTGTCACTGGGAGGATGGAGTGTACAGTATTTATTTATCCGGTAACAAGAACTCAGGAAAAGAAAATTACCCCAAAAAATACAATTCTTCCCCCCATTTCAGGATATGGTTGAAGTAAGAAATATTTTTTGGTCAAAAACTGTTTTATAGCTGTTGGTTAACTCGGGACCATATTCCAGGTTATTACACTATCATCTATGACAAATACGTTGCTTAATATTCTTCTGATGATTTATAGGAATCTCAATACTAAAGTACCATTTGATAAACATAAGAACATAAGAAAATAAGGAGTCTGCAATAGGCCGGTTGGCCTGTGCATGGCAGCTCCTGTCGAGAGTTACTACCACTCTCTATCGTCCATGAATCTATCTAGCCTCCTTTTGAAACTTTCCAGAGTTCCCGCACTTACTACAAAGTTGCTAAGCTTGTTCCACTTGTCCACCACCCTATTTGTGAACCAGTTTCTTCCTATCTCCCTCCTAAACCTAAACTTATCCAACTTGAATCCGTTGCTCCGAGTCCTGTCCTGCTCGGATATTATAAGAACTTTATCTATATCCCCTTTATTCTGATGGTATATCTTCCACCCTTATTGTTGTATGTTTCTTAAACTGTACCCTATATTGTAAGAATATCAAGGTAACTTCTTTCTTTTTATTATAATCTTGTTTTTAGCTGAAACCTTCAAGGATAATTGTAGAATTGCACTGAATTCAAATTTGGTGTGGGAGCAAGGAAATGGTGAATCTGAGGTCCAGAGATGTACTGTATATGTTAAATATCCATAGGAGTCAGAAAATGTACGCACACCAACTTAGGAGATCCTAGGTTAATTTTTGTACATTTAATTGGTTCCAGCTGTGCCATCTGAATTTATTGTTTGATTCCCATGAGTTTGAGTTACATTTTCTTTGTCCTTGTACCCCTTTATCAGTTCCGTTTTTAATTTTATTCAGAGATGAAAAGTAAAGTGGCAACCCTCTTCCCAAGTAGAGAGATCAGTAATTCTGACCCCAAAATATGTCTTGCAAAGTTTGTTTGTACCATTGTCCAGTGTGACTAGATCTCCTTTTAAGTCATTTTATGGGGAGTGGGTGGATATTTTTTTATCGTATTTAGGTGAATGTAGATTGAAATTGTCTTGTAGGTTAAATGGTAAGTGAAATTAATGAGTGAACTAAGCAATTTTGTGATGTAATTATCACCCAAGTCCTTTGGTAACTACCGTACTGTATGACACATTGTAATCACCTGATTTCATTGTTGATATGAAATATCTTTTGTATTTCTTGAAATAATAAGAATAACACAGCATTGTAAATAAATAATTATAGAACTAAAATACCATGTACGTTGAACCCCCTGAAGAAATATTGTACATGGGGATGGGGTAGCTCCTTGGGGGCACAGGGCTCTTTATATTAATATATAAAGCGCAGCTATTGTGTGACTATTTACTACGCACAACGA